TCATCCGAACGTCCGACGTACATTAATGAACATCCAAAGAAACGTCCAACTCATACACATAATAATATGCACTCATACATTCAATATTGATTATTGATCATATCTGGAATCTTGATAAGTACCCAATATTGTATATTATCAATGACTCAGAACCTTCTGTTATAACAAGAATTTTGGTTCGAACAACCGTGCGAGAGCGATGAAGAAGGAAGAGTTTTCTGTTTAGGCGGAAGAATATGTGAGGTTAGTTTGATCTTCGCCATGTTTATTGTTTACCATCTGATGGTGTTCACGCGGTGGCGTTTTTGATGATATTTTCGTTCTTTTCGTGAAGAAGTTTTCTGAATAGTCTGATATAGTCTGATCTTTTTATTGATTGCATGTAGTTTGTGCAGTATGTTTCTACCTTGATAAATAAATCAAACTATCATACTTGTTAAGCGTTGTCGATGAAATTTCGCATCACCCTGTTCACTACCTAGACGATTTCCATGAAATGAACAAAAATTGAATTGGGATCGACTTTCTCTATAAATATATTCTCGAGGACCTCTCACTGATTAGATTTCGGTCTCAAAATTCACATAAATTTCTTCTTGAAAGGCTTGCATCATAATATATTATAAACGCGATTCTTCAGGATCAGCGGCTTAGTTCCTGATGTTTTGCCCACTTTGTTTTCTCACAATGTTTTCTCTTCTACCCTGTCCTCCTATTTCTCTAGTCTTCTTTGTTTGCATATAGTGTTCTGATGAGACCAACCCCATAATATGAATTATACCTTCTATCGTTGTTCACATGTTTGCTATTTGTGTGATTTTTCACAACCATATATTGTCGCAACTCAGAAGTTGACCCTTCTATATGTCGTAACTTAGCTACTCGTTTGGCTTTTCAACGAGAGGTTTCAATATAAAATTCGACATTCATTGATCGAATGAAAGAATTGTAGATGAATGGTTGCCACATAATAGGTCAGCAAAGAAAAAGAACATAATGGCTTGCTGAATGGAACACAACGCAAAACAACATTCGAAAATAACAGTACCTACTTACATTACAACGTCTATCATGGGGTTGACCAGTAGGATTGAAGTCGGAGAGACGGCAAACATATTTCAATTCATAATTACTAATGACTTGTATTAATAATAATGATGCATTATCCACTCGGGTTCTATCTATATTCGGAATCGATGCTAGGTTTGCAATTTTCCGCAATGGGTAGGGCTATTACCTATCGATATTGTTCACCTAGGTATTATCGCACGGTAAGGAGTTTTTGAAAATTCTACTGAAACTGACGTCTGTGAACTCCTCTGACCTGATCAATTGGGAAAAGTTGATTGATAATTAAAGATATTTGAGTGATGTTATTCCATAGGCATGTGTACTTCTTGACAATATTTATATAAATGTGAAACACATTCTCCGTAGTGAGTGATCGTTAAAAACAAGGCAAATGGCTCGTCACATAATGGGATAGAGCATCATCGTATGTTTGGATGGTCACTCTATAGGTATATGGTAAAAGTATATTCTGAAACTTATCGGATCTGTGCTTTGTATAATCGTGAGAAGCTAGTTAGGTTTAAAGAAGCTTTTCGCACGAAATAAGAAGCCGAGTTTCTGGAAAATAGCTTTTGTGATCAATCTGACATGATTTTTCCATGAAAGAGTATTATCGATGGTGATACCATAATAATTTGTGAAGACGACGTAGGTGCCTAATACGGTCGAATGCGTTCTATATATTGAACTCTTACCAGCTTTAGAGATTCTTTATGTTTTCCAAATGTATAACTTGCCAAATAGTATGTACAGGGTGATTGTCAATATCGTACTCAAAAGCTAACTCAGTTGAGATTGGTCTTACAAGAACGTTCAGATGGGCAAGTATTAAATCGGCATTCCGTTCAGTACTGAGATATGCAATAAAGAATCCTAAACCCAAAAATTGCACCCTGTATTTCATGTTACTAATCGGTAGAGGTCTTCCTTCTGCTTTCGGATATATATACTTCTCTGAGGTTATATTCGTCAGTTTTCGGGAAATATAGATTTTTTCGTTCATATCTAAGGCAGGAATAGAAGGCCAGACAACAATTGATGCTGCGATTTCTGGCGTTCAACAGCTGCCTTGAAATCTCTAGGGCTGACCAAGACAATCCCGATGAAGTATATATATTTGGAATCAGAAGAGATAGCTCCACCGATTAGATGAATGAAATACATGGTTTCTTCGAGAAATACCAGTTTTTGAAAAATGATTTTCACATTTTCTAGTACTGAATTCTGAATGCACATGAAAATTCCTCATATTTGCCCATTTTACGTTTTTGTGAAACCAATATCAACTGAAATCGCTATCTAGTGAATCATAAACAATCATTCTATACATTGCGATTATTATGAGTTACCAAGGAAAGTGAATCCTGAAATGATCGATGATGGGAAGAGCCATATTGTATATCATCCATGATTCCAGAGCTTTGAGGATGATTGAAGAGCTCAATGTTTACGATTTCCGCTATTTTTCAACAGGATGGAAATCAACCCGACTTGAACGATATAATAAATATCTCTCGAAGAATCGGTGTTGATTATAGGCCTCAACTTTGTTAGACCAAGCAGAATGCATTCAATAGTGCGTTGGCGAAAATCGATTGCGAGCATTCGACTATCAACAGATAGAATATCTGGCAGTATTCTCTTTCAGGAACCTAATATCAATTCTGACATTACATAAGGATCAATTCTGGCACCAACATTGTTCCTACTCCATATCAATGATCTGTTGGCAGTTACTAGTTGCCCTATCCACATATTTGCAGATGGTACTGCGTTCTCTTCCAGAACCTCATTTCTTCTCAGGAAACTAAGAACTGACGACAGAGGTAGGTAGACGTTGTCCATGAAGATCTTTTCGAAATTACAGCCTGGGACAACAACTAATTAAATTCAACGCTACCAGAACTCAAGTCTCTTGTTTATCTAAAAGGGCGGATCCTGACATATCAATGTCTATTTTTACCATCTAAACAAAGTCCAATTCACTTATGCTCGGTATTTCCATCAGCGATACACTTCTATAAATAAATTATTTTAGGCCCATTCCATCCAGAGAAGGGCAATCCGCCTGGTGAGTGATGCCACTCTCACTAATTCTTTGACACCACAGGAACACCGTAGAATATTCGCCGACCTTTCACTTTTCACACATCTCTGTAGATTTCCATGAAATGCAATACCAGTCAGACGAACCCGACAAGCCCAGTCAGCAGATTCCTCCGTGGTCAAATCTTCACCAGAACACGTTTATTCATAGAACAGAGAGGCTTTGGAATTCTTTGCCAAAGGCAGTATTTCCAAGAACTTATAATCTTCGAAAGTTCAAAAGCAAATCCAATACTTTTCTTCCTCCTCCTTTCTCTTCTCCTTAGTTACGAACGATAATATAATGGGAATTTCCTTACGTGCGCCCCAAGAGAAACAGAACCTAGGGCAAAGTTTGCAGCAAATTTCCACTCGTTATACCACTAGAGGTCGAATTATTTTCCGAAATCTCTTCGAGTTCATGGATATTTTGAAATTTATTCCGAGTCGAAGACAAGGGATGATTTTGAAAACGTTCATGAGCTCCGAAAAAATTCCCGGAAAGTAATTTGACGTCGTGTTGTATTCGGTGAGAAATTTTCACACCAGAATGTTTTCGGAAATTAAATAGTTTTAGAATATATTCGTTCATTTGGTTTGCAGACAGGTTCATGAATAAATTTAGTTTGGGTCGCAGTTTTGGCACGCATATTTGCATGAAAATACTAGTATAAATTGTAACATATCATATTCATTTCATATTAACTCCGGGGATTTTGTCAATTAATTTTTCATAGGTATATAGATACATATTAGTAGTAGTAGAGAACGGGAAGGCGGTCATAATGTTCACTATTCCTTCTCCTAATTCCCCTATATTTGAACCTGCGTGGATTTCTGATGAAGATCAGTATGTCCGTCCACCTTTGTAATTTCATCTTCCTGTTGAAGCGTATCATTATATACCAGAGATTTCAGATTTTTGCCTTCCATAACGCCCCACACTGGCCCAGGTAGTGATATGACATTCTATATTATAATAGATGCAGTTAGGGCATCAATGGATTCTTAGCATTTTTTTTTTTTTCGAGACAAAAATTATACTTTATTGTTTTTTTTCAAATTTCACTATATGTATTCACAATCACATCCTATTGAATAGTAATATTCATTTTAAAAATAAATAAATCGATAAAATGACCAATGTTTTGATAAAACATTAGCGTAAGTCGCTTTTTTCTTCATCATCACTTTTTTTGACATGGATTCGATGGTGGAGGAATCTTCGTTCGAACTTTCCTTGGAAGTGCTCCATCTAAATTTGACCTTATTCTGTTTCTTGTTTCAGAATCGTTGCTATCGATCGCACTGTTGCTTCTCTGATCTTCGTTCCGCGTCCTTGCAACATTCTGCTCGTAGAAGAGGATGTATGATTCTCCATTCACAATAGATTTAGATGATTTCTGTGAAACAATCGAGTCATTGTACTCGTGCCATAAGTTTGTGATTGGGTGTTTACAATATGCTGTGTAGTGTCCAGACAAAATTGTTCCACTGTGATTAGATACAGCATCAAGATTATATCTACAAGGGATTTCATTATTTGTTGTATAATTACCCATATCCAAATCTTCTAGAGGAAAATCAATGGTGGTGTTTATTTTCCCATGAAAATTCTCCGATGGCGAGAAACGTTTTAAATGAATCACTAGAATATTAGGGAATTTATGTATCAACAAAGACTTCGTGAAATTCCTTCTTTCCTTACATTTTGAACATGTTGGTAACTCGTCACCGTTCAAGATTTCCTCTCTGGTGAAAAGGTCTAAGCATTGTGAAAGTCTTAGTTGGCCCGTTGTGTTTGGAATCGTTAATGATAGATCCCAGAAAGGTTCAAAACTTACAGAGCAATGTCCACAATAGAACAACTCAAAGTTGATTTCAATTGACCAACAAAGTTGTCTACAATAATCGAGTATTCTATTCTCAAATATCTGGACCATGACTCTTGGGCTTTCTCATGATCACTAAGTTTCTCATCTATTTCTGTGAAGATTAGGTCAGACCTTTCTGTTATCCTTTTCACATCTTCATGGAGGCCTTCGAGAAGATATCTGAGAAATTCTTGGGCGTCCTGTTCAGCGTAATCCATGAAACGTGGAGCAAATCTTTGGATCTGATTTTTCAAAGGAAGGATATTCACCACAGTATCAGTTGAATCTTCCAATCATAGTCCGTTAATCACTTCAACAAATGCCTTCATTATCAATGCAGGATCATTCAACTCGACCATATATTCCTCTTCCCTAAGAAATTCCAAAATCCATAGCATATTGATTGTTGATTTCTACTCAATTGAAAAAAACAATTTAACTGTTTGGAAATCGCTGATGTGGAATTCTCACTTATAATTACACTAGAGCTTTTTTGTCGAAGTAAACTTGACATGTATCGTTGAAAATTTTGTTGCAATATGATGAAAAAAAACTGACTCTGAAGGACGAGCAATTTCTTGAGTCGAATTACCTGATGGCCACAAAATTCGAGTTATGAATGCCAAGTTCACTTCGACTGAAAGAAAAACAGGAGTGTGATTCGGTAGGACAATTCAATTCATCATGAATTCATCGAACATTTGTTCATGACTGGTTGTCATGCTTCCAAAGTTAGGTTCCGTTATTGTCGCTGGACAAACTTTTTCCGCTGTCATAATGAAAAAATCACGCGGCTTGTGGGATTTTTCATACATGAAATAAAATTTCATGACAAAAACATATTCTCTCTGTCGCGATGTTGCTGCGTCGTGAACATCAACACCAGCCGTGCGAAACCGCCTTCGAAACAGTATTTCAATCAGTTCGAAGAATGCTCGAGTGCCAAATATTTAATCCAGCCAGAGTGGAAATTCTCCTTCGAGATCAATTTACATCTGGAGGCCTGATCGGCCATTCTGGACACGTCTGCGTCCCGGAGGATGGAATCTGCGAGCGTTATCCGGGGACCGGAGTGACCGGAGCGGTCAGAAAAATCCACGGGAAATCCTTGAATAAAGCTCATTGGCGCGCCGCCAATGTGAATTACGAGTTCTCGGATCTAGGCTGAGGATTTTCGGAAAGCAGGTCAGTTTAGTAGGCGAGGGTTGCTCATGAGATGGAATGGAAGACGTTCCAAAGAAAAATGGCATCAATTGAAAGTATATTATAGGAACTCAATATAATCTCGTAGAATTGTATTTTTACTATTAATAATATAATAATATAATATAGTTTATTGGTACAAAAAAAATGTTTAAATACAATTTCATTTAGATGACGGCGATAACAATTTTTTCACACATAAACAGAAAACCACAAAGTCAAAGACTGTCTGTGGTGTGAGTGTAGCCTATGTTTAAAATTAGTATCGATAAATCCCAGCAAACATGATTGAGCGGTAAATAGGCGGCCGATTGCTGGTAACTGCGGTTAGTTGTCGGCAGCGGCACACCTATGTCGTTAAAATGTTGAAACGACATCGGTTTTGCCGCCATGGCTGAACGTACGCATGTTTATAATGGATGTTTGTTATTCAGCCAGAAATTGCCCGTTCAAAATTCCCGACAATCGTGCCGATGTCGCTTTGACGCAGTATGTATGTTGTTTACAGGTCAGTGGTAACTGAACCAAACGCAATGTTGGCATCACTGGGTTTTTGAGCATTGGTAGTACTGCTAATTTATTTTCGTGTTTTAGTTCTGTGTCCGTAGATCGCGTCAGTTGTCTGTCACTTGTCTTCAGGTATTTGTTAAACGGCGTGATAATATTAATATTATTTAGAAAAAGTTGGTGAGTTTTATGATTGATCCCAGCAAACTATCGTCCGACATCAAGAATAATGATATATGTTATATAACAATAATTAAACTCGTTATTGTCTACCAATCCATTTTTGTGGTAATGATTTTGAGCTAAATATTTGTTCATTACCCTATATTATAACAATGATGCTCCAATGCGAAGTTCAGCTCTTTACCTATATTCGAAAAATATTTGATTCACAGTAATAGATCAAACACTGGAAAAGTAATGTGGCTAGAACATTATCAGACTAAACCTATTCTACGTCGTCGAATCAACAAGTTATGATAGGTATATCGTATATGATCAAATATCAAATATAATTGAAGTATTGTACTATTTCAATTCTGTTGACTGATGGATTCGTAATAGTATCTTTCAAGTTTCGCAGTAGCCTAGTGGTATAAGCGTCTGACAGTTGATTGGATATCCGTTCGATCGCAAGTTCGAGTCCGACTCCCGACTATATCTTTTTTTTATTTCTAACCGAATAGTGTCGGTAGATAGTCGGGCGGCCTACTAGCGGCCGGTGCGACACGGGCTAGCCGGGCCGACGATGTATCATGATTGTGGCCCGCTGATGTTGACTGTCGGCAGTTTTTGGAGGGCGTCTAAAGGCCCGCGCGATACATGTTTGCTGGGATATTGAGTGAAGCGAATGAAAAATATGTTTAATTTCAAAATCAAGATTCTCTAACATGACTGAAATTGGTAAAGAACACATGTCCAGTATACAAGCAGCAAGGCAGACAAATCGGTCACCAAATGCGAACATGTAAATTACAAAACACATACAGTTTAAATCAGCTTAAAAATAATATAGTGAAGGCAATTGAAGTTTGATGAAATACACATGCCTAGTACAACCAACAAAGTGGTCAATAAATATGAAAAATGAAAATTACAAAATAAACATACAATTTAACATATAGAAAATATTTAAGGAGAAATTGAAGGAAGACATTAAACTAATGAGCTGAGATGGAATGATATCTGATTACACCGTTACACCAGCCTCCACGAGCTCATGAACAGTTAGTCTGTTTGAATTAAGTAAATATTTTTTTAGCTTTTTTTTTGAACCCTCTATAAGAAGATGTCTCTTTTATTTCGACAGGAATAAAATTGAAAAATCTTGGTACTAAATACGAGAAGCATCTTTGTCCTATGGATTTTGAAGCAAGCGGTGTTTTGAAATATTTTGATTTGTGTCTTGTTCCGTAAGAATGTTCTAGTCTCTTTAGATTAGATTTAGCTTTGAATTCAAAGCAGGATGATATAAAAAAATAATGTTGACGAATGTCAAGGATTTTAGATTCGGAGTATATCAAATCAGATGAGTGTCGGGAGGGTTTGTTTAGTAAAATTTTCAAAAAGGTTTTTTGAAGAACTTCCAGATTTTTAATATGTTCTTTTAGTGCACATCCCCACCCTATTATCTCATATGTCAATCTAGATTCAACCAATGCGTGATAAATCATTCTGAGATGTTTTTCTTCGAAAAATTTGGAGATATATTTGAATCGGTATAAGATACTTCTCAGGGTATTGCATAGTTTCAGGATATGTATGTTCCATCTTAGATGTTTATCGATAGTTACTCCTAAATATTTAATCGTCTCGTAATGGGTTATGGAAAATGAATATGTTGGATAAACACCAGTCCACTGTGTATGTAGGCAAAAATGAAATATGAACCAATGTAATTATTATCGTTGAATATCTAGGACTTTCGACAGTGCAGCGCACGAGGGCCAAATTACATTTGTTTATTTAAAATTCATTAATTGAAGCGATGTCTGTGGTATAGATGAGGAGAGACAGCTTACTGAGCATATACTTATGTAGTTTTCCTATAGTCACGATTTCTATGATGCTCCTTACATCAGCGTGCTTCACGATTGGTCTTGATTTAAAGAGAACAATATGCAGTTTTAAAGTATAACACGAGGACTTGTTATTTCCATACCCAATTTCCTTCAGAATCCCAGACTGGTTCTTGATATGAACAATTGAATTCCAGACGATGAAGTGGGGTTCGCATTTTGAATCATAGATGGCGTGACTCCTTTTGTGGCTCTAGGTAGGTAGAACTTATGATCAACATCGATCAGCTCTACCAACCTTGATGCGGCTGAATCGCAAAATGTATTCCCTATCTTCATTGGTCATAATTCTTTCACAATTGTCACATTGATACCTGTATTTTGGTACGGCACCAAACTATATAAACTTCTCCCACGCGATGTTATGTTTATCGAAGTCGAAAATCAATGAATTGTAAAACAGGAAAGGATTGAAGTGCTTACACCAGAGGTTTATTTCATCAATGCTAGTATCTACTTCATGTAGAATGAAAGAATATCTATCGCAGTTCGTTACTGAGCTATTGACCTTGTGAGTTTGAATAAAAACATATATTCCAGATAAAGCTTCCATGGTATCAATGATATTTGTAATAGCCCTATTGGTGTTCGTTTCCGATTTATTATAGTGAGTTATATTAGTGAGTTATTATAACCCACGTCGTTTGTTCACAGATACTATGAAATTGCTCGGAATCAGTTGAATAATCAATATTTAATTCAATAGTGGTTGATAAAGGATCAGTCCGACTTCGTCTGCAAAACCACAGTGGCCAGATTCTTCAGGCTCCGTGGAGTAAACGATAGTATTTTCTCTAAATGGAATCTTTGGTTGGTCATATCAAACTTATTATTGATGGGCACCAAGTTAACAAACTGTATTCATAATTCCACTCAGCTCTACTTGACTAACTGAATGAATTTTGCGAATTTCAATGCCTGCAGTTTGTAATTCATTTCCACACATGAATGTATATAGTAACAGGACTGATCGAATTAGGAAGTTAACTCGTATTAATTGGTGTTCTCGAAGTTATTCTGACATTGTGGCATATAAGGGTTGTCAATGACTCGGTAGAATCTGATTAAACTCAAATTCATCACTCTGTGTTGATCCATCATTGCGTTATAATATAATATATTGGTATTTCGAGAGTGGCCTCCAATATGTGATAATTAGTTGGATCTCTCTGGAACTTTGGAACACATATTTTCATCAACACATGAATTGCATTGCATGAAAATCCCTATTGAAATCAATAAAAAATTAGGTTCTAATATTAAATGACCAACAAATTCTGTCTCTTTTAATGGTTTATAGCCGGAAGCAACTCTAACTTTAGAATTTGAAACATGACACCTTTTATATTCTTCCATTCCTCAATTCGGAGAACCCTATTGAGATATTAGCAGGTTTTTCTGATCAGAATGTCAGAAAAATAATTAGTTTG